GGGTGTCCAGGGGGGCTGCTCCATCTCTGTGACGGTTGAGACTTTATTTATTTTTCACTGTACAGTATTTAAAAAGAGAATAAAAAACACCAAAAACCTGCCTGTCTCATTATCGGGGCCACTTAACGAGCAGGGGGGAGGGCTTGGTCCACGGGATGGGGTTGGGGGGGACATGTGACCCACAATCTTGCTACAAGGTGTTCTGGGAGGTTGGATTCTCTGGAGGTGGGGCACAGACACCATGGGAAGGCCTTGGAGGACTGGCCAGGCTGCCCAGAGTGTCTCTGGAAGAGGTGGGCCTAGGAGCCAGGATGCCTGGTTTCTTTCCCAGAGGTGGGAGCAGTACAACCAATGGGGTAAGGTTTGGGGGGTGCGCAGATGCCTGAGTTACTTCCCTGGCTTGAAGCAGAGCAAAGGGAACCAAGGCATCCTAGTCTGCCCTCTCAGGGGACTGCCCTAATCCTGACTAACAGCTCAGATGAACCACACCCCTTCCAGGCTACAAGTGAAGCCCTGCCTCTCAGGCTCAAGGAGGGGTTCTGGCTTCCCCTGAACCATTTGTTTTGTGCTCTCTAGGCCACGCCCCTTCTTTTCAGTGGTGGGGGGTAGAGACTGAGGGAGGTGGGCTGGACCCGTGCACCCCACCTCCAGGACAGATGGGCACACAGCAACTTCCAGACACCTTTACTAGGTAGTGAGAGAGAACCCCGGTGTCTCGGTCAGCAGCTATCCCCACCCCACTTCAGGGTAACCCGCCCAATCTTGTGTGAGAGGGGGCTGGGAGCCCAGACACCTGGGTTCTCCCAGCTCTGGGGCGGAGGGGGTTGTGGGTGAGGGGAGAGCCGGGATGCCTGGGTTCTATCCCTGATAGAGGAAGGGGAGGAACTAGCTAGGATCAGGGGCTCCAGGGAGCTGGGATACCTGGGTTCTATCCTGGGTCAGGGAGTAGGAATCAGGGCAGGATCATGGCCTGGGGACTCAGATACCTGGGTTCTATCCGAGGGGATGGAGTCCAGGGGTTAGAGGCCCTAGGAACCTGGATGAGATGGGGGGGAGATTACAGTTTGGGAAGGGGCCTGGGAGCCTGCACACTGGGGGTCCATCAGCGAAGGGATGGGAGGCGGGGGTGGAACAGGGAAGGGGCCAGGAACCCAGATGCCTAGGTTCCATCCTCAGCTAAGGGCGGGGAGGTGGGGGCTGGTGGGTGGGACCCCTCCCCTGTCTCAGTCCCTGAGGGTTCGCAGCAAGGCCTCACGGATCTGCCCGGCAGCCCCCGCCTCGGAGGCCCGGTCCTCGTCCTCGTCCTGCTCCTCCTCCTCGTCCTGCTCCTCCTCTTCTTCCGGGAACCAGCGGGGCTGGAAGGGGTCGCCGTGGGCCTCGCAGATGTTGTGCAGGGTGCAGCAGGCAGCAATAAGCGTGGGCAGGAAGGCCACATCAGTATCGTTGCGTTTCTGCAGGCACCGCCACCGGCCCCGCAAGCGCCCAAAGGCCACGCCAGCCACGGTGCGGGCGGCCGCCGCGTACTCATTGAACCGCCTCCGGGCTGGCGTCAGCTCCCCAGCCCGGTATGGCCTCATGAGCCAAGGCAGCAGTGGGTACGAGGAGCCCCCCAGCAGGTAGACGGGTACCTGGACCCCACTCAGCTCCCGGGCACCACTGGGGAACAGCACCCCCTCCTGGGCTCGCCGATACAGCTCAGAGCCCTGCAGCACCTGGGCATCTGAGACGCGGCCAGGGCAGCCCACGTTGATGTCCCAGAAGCAGCCGCGGGAATCCACGGCAGCCTGGAGCACCACCGAGTGCCACCCGCGGCGGTTGTAGTAGCCAGCGGCATTCTCGTTGGGTGCCCGGATGGGGACGTGGAGGGAACCCAGCACGCCGGCCATCTGGGGCAGGGTGAAGCCGGCTGCCTCGGGGGTCTCGGGTGCTGCCACGTAGGCGGGCGTGAGGAGCCCTACCACAGCCTCGCAGACATCACGTAGGATCTTGCAGACGGTGGAGCGGGATACGCCGAATTGCTGCTCCACGGCCCGGTACTCGGTGCAGGCACCCAGGCGCCACAGGGTCATGGCCAGGCGCACCTCCACGGGGATGGCACGGCGCATGTTGGTGTCCTGGCGCTGGATGGCGCCCCGCAGGCGCCCGCAGAGGTAGTCAAAGGTGGCTGGGCCCAGGCGGAAGTTCTCGGCCCACTCCCAGGGGGTGAAGGCCTTGGCGCGCACCAAGTCCCAGAAGGCCGAGCTTCTTGCCTTGCTCCACAGGCGCCGCTCCCGCAGGAGCAGGGGAAGGCCGGAGCTGCTGCCACCCCCGCGGGCCTGCCCGGCAGGCGCCGCCCACGCTGGAGCCGCACGTAGTAGAGCAGGCAGAGGGCCACAGCCCCCTGGCTCAGGGCAGGCAAGGCAGGAGAGGGCAGAGGGCAAGATGGCGGCGCTGGGGCAGCCATCTTGGTTGGCCAGAGTGTGGTCAAGGGGGGGCCGCCACGGCGCATGCGCGTGGGAGGGGCGAGGCGGGCAAAACGCCCGCCTGAGAGGAAAAGGGGAATCTGCGCATGCGCACCCGCATGAGGCGAGGATGAAGTAGGCGCGCGCATGCGCGCGCTTCTGCACCGGTCGTGAGAAACATGTCTGAACTGGACGGGAGGTTTTGCGCATACGCACCCGCCTGAAGCGCGGAAAAAGGACACCTTTGCGCATGTGCTGTAAAGCGGGAGCTGCTGCTCCCCAGCAAGGAAGCGGGGCCTACCCATGCGCAATCTCCTGAAGGGAAGGTGGAGGGATCTGCGCATGCACCTGAGCGGGAAGGGGGGACTACGCATGCGGTGTAGAGGAGGAGCAGCGGCGCTTGTGGAATGGAGACGGAAGTGGCCTCGGCCGCCGTTTTTCAACATAGAGCAGGCGCTGGGGCTGCACTTATTGCCGGAGACGTGCTTCGATGAGCTCTTCTCCGCTTTCACCTGCTGCAGTGAGCCCCGGGCCGGGGTGGGGTGGAGCCCGTGCGGGCTTCCCCCACTCCCGTCAAGGTGCAGCCGCCGCCATGTTGGTGTGGGACGGAAGTCCCGTGTCGACGTGGGGGCCAATGAAGGGAAGGGAGGAAGTTGCCACCAGTCTCTCCTAGTCCCGTTGTAAGCGGGGGGACTGCATTTCCCAGCAGCCCCTGCGTGTGGCTTCCTGGGAGTGGGGAAAGAGCCCAGGCGCCTGGGCTCCCTAGTCCCCGCAGCCCCGCTCGTGCCGGCGCCCCCTGCAGGATCAGCGCCCGGAGGTCGAGGAGGGGGACCTGCACACTGAACCAGCTCAGCGACCAGGTATGTGGGGTTGTGGGCGGGGGTGCTCTAGTGGGTACTGAGGGGCAGGTGCAGGGGACGGGACAGTTTGCAGGGTCAGTGGGGCAGCCCCTGGGGAGATGGGAGGTGAATCACCTGATGGATGCCCTCCCCCCCCAGGTTGTCAATAGATACAGCAATCTCAGTATGGATGCAAAGCTAGATGATGCCAGTCGTGGGCTGGGAGTGGCATAGGGTGGGGAACCAGACACCTGGGTTCCCCCCTGGTTCAGGGCTTGGGTGCCAGGGATCCCACCTTTGAGAGTCCTTGGGCTCTGGGCGCAGACACCTGGGTTCCCTCCTGGGTGCGGACCTGGTGGGTTACAATAACTGGGAGCCTGAATGCCTGCATTGTCTTGGGGTGGGGGCCTGGATGCCTGCGGGGGACCACAGCCAGCCAGCTCTGGGGTGGAGGCAGCTGGCTAGAGGTGTGGCCCAGGTGTCCAGGCTCTCACACTTAGGCTACGCTCCCCTCCCAGAGAACCCAAGTGTCCTGGCCCCCAGCCCCTACCTACTCCCCCAGAGAACCCAGGCTTCTGGGTGGGCTTCCTGTCCACCCTCAGGCTTTCTTTCATTCCCCCCCCTGTACATTTCTTCAACATTTTTTCTTCTTTTACAAGAAGCTGGAAACCAAGGGATATGATGGGCTGAGGTGCTGGATCAGGAATATGATTGCAGTGGGGGGCACCTTGTGGGGAGCTGGGAGTCTGGACACCTGGGTTCTCTGGGTGAACAACAGCATAGAAAACAGAGGGAGGATCAGGTTCAGTGGGTGACTGCAGTACCTCTACCCCTCCCCTCCCCTCCCCTCCTCCAGAAGTGGTTGGATTCTGGATACTCAGGGGGTGGGGCTAGGGCTCTGGGGGTGGAGCCAAAGCTGGGAGTTGGGGGCTGATGGTTGTAGTACCTCCTGCAGATGGACATATTTCAAAAGAAGCTCCTGTTCATCCCCACAAAGGACCACTGAGCCCTGATGTCTGTAGCTGTGTGGGGCAGGTGCATCACCTACTTTGACTCACCGAATAGCAATAGGCCACCTGCAGGCAGCAGCTGTTCCTGGAGGGGGGCGGGAGCTAATCCTGCCTGTTTCCAGCCACAGTTCTTGGGGGGGGGGGGCAGGAGGGGATGCTGGGAGCAGGGCTTGGAGGCATCAGTAATTGCCCTCCCACAGTGCATCTATAAGGATCCGAAAGCCTTCACCAAGCAGGATATGCCCCAGAGCTGGAAGCAGATGTACAAGGAGCTACACCGAGCCCACCCCCTACATCCAAGAAGCTGGGGTGCGGAGCCTGTGTGCCTGACCAACTCCCCCTCTCCATCCCTTTCAGCTGCTACAGAGGGTGAGACTAGGGCTTGAACAACTGGGTTGCCACTGGAGGTTGGAGCAGGACCTCTTTTATTTTTTTTTTATTTTTTTTTTGAATAATGTAACTTTTTAATAATGATTGTAACATAAAATTTTATGTATATGGTTTTTTGGATGGGGGGGAATAAACTATCTTTGGACCCTGTCTGTGTGTGTGGGTGTGGGTGGAGGGGGGGGCTCTGCACATGCGCTGTAGAGCAGCTTGCGAAATGGAGGCGGAAGTGGCTCCCCCCCCCCATTTCCAACATGGCGGGGGGGGCGGCGGGGG